AGATGTTTCGGATGTTTCCCTCTCAGTTCAGCCAACTACAGCTTTTCTTCATATTAGTAGCATTTCTTTTATTTTTCTCTCCACCTTTTTATCCTTTTCATTATCAAATATTCTCAGAAAAGATCAAGTTGAAACTGACAAGCTGATTAAAATGCATTCATCTAGCAGTAAATAAAGGGAAGACACGTGTGAAAGCAATAAAGGCAAGGACAGCATCTTTCACTGTTCAGATGATTGCAAAATCCTCTCTGAATTTCACATTGCTTGCAGTGGTCTCACACCACTGAGAGGTAACTCTAATCCATACAGACTATGGAGTTAGTATTATTACAAAACAGAGAAGAAAACACCGAAAACTGAAATATTTTTTTTTAGCCCATAAGAACTTAAAATTTGGTTAGTAACAAATGTGCTGGAGGCTTTTTTTAATTAAAAATCTAACATGTATTCAGTTTTACAGGCCTGTAATACTGAAGAAACTCTACTCTGGCACCACAACCTTAGCTCCTATATGTGCTCAAGTGAAACGAATGTAAGCTCTGTACATCTTTTCCTTCTATAATTTATGATATTCCAATTCAAGAACTGCTTCTGACTTTCCCTGTATATAAGCAATCTCACGCAGTTTTACGGTGGCTAAACTTGGCCCATAAATGTGATTTTCCTGCTAACAATACGTGAATCAAAAACACCAAGTCTGCTTTGCACATTCGTGCGGTGGTTTTTGAGGACAAACAGAAAAGAATTTTTTAAACTCGTAGTCTCAAGCGTGATACAGCGCTGAGAGGAAAGAAATCTCTAACAAGTTTACGATGTTTTTCACATTAAAACAACACTTAAAGCATAATGATGTCATCTTGGCTCCACCAAAGTCAGCAACAAACCTGCCATCTACTACTGGGAAGCCAGAACTGCAACCTTAAATCTTCCTTAATATACCAGATAAGCAAATGCCAGATCTCAGACTAGCTTTACCTGCAAAAATGCAAGTCTTCTCGCTCAGTCTTCAAACTCTATTTGATGGGTTTTGCACACCAGAGGTCAAGCAGAATTTTGCAACACAGAAACTATTTAAAGCTTCAGACGCAGCCTCAGGCATGAGCTCAGCCTTCCATTCACCATGGCTACTTTAAGATAACTTTGACCTGACACTGACAAGACTATAAACCTTCAGGGAGGAGCAGAATCCTGCAAATGTTATAAACAATGAGTAACTTTTTTAAATCATTATGATATAAAAATAGGCTTTCTATATGGCTAATGGAAAGTGGATAAGAAAGAAGCATGTGTACACACAAGTCTTTCTCCTCTTCGAGTCAGTGCAGCCAGATCAGTCTGGTAAGGTATAAGATTAATTTAAAAGTCACTATATGGATTTAAATGAATTAAAACAAATGTTTTAAACAACAGACTGCAAATCCTGTAGCCGTGATTTTGATTTATCATAGTTTAAAGTTTGGTAAATGCCTCTCAAAACAGATTTAAGAGGCATGGTTTATGTTCAAGAAGAATATACAGGTTAAAGCATGCCATAACAAAAGCATGTGTCACTATATGAAGGGAACAGCTGCAAGTACATGGTGACAATGCTAATAAAGTCTGTTGTCAAAGTAAAAGCTATGCCAAATTAACACAAGCAGATCAACATTTAGACAGATCAAATGTGGCCCATCATGAACACTATCCTGCTTTTGACAGTGCTCTGATGCTTCAGACTACATTTTCCAAAAAAAAATAAAATTTATAAAATCATCACTGCTTCCATACTAGCATCTGAGACTCCAGTAGTCCACAACTGGGCAACTTTCAATATTCACAGATAATGCATTTCTATTACTGACTGTCAAATAATTCTTTCATTTGTTTTTAAATCCAGATTGACTTTTATTTCACCCAGGACCTAACAGACACAAAAATACGTTCGGCTACATTTTGTTTGACTGCATTCATCAAAGAGTCTTAGCAAATAGACCAAACAAGGTTGTGTCCCTATCCTAAAGGTCCCACTAAGTGAGTTTTTAACCCCACAGTGCCCCAGACAGATCCCTCATGGACTAGAGCAGTTCCATCTCATCACATGCCACCCCTGCAGGGTGAGAGGAACCCTGACCTACCCACGGAGGAACACCAGGGGTAAGAACAAGTTTGTGAGGGTGAGAGGAACCCTGACCTACCCACTGAGGAACACCAGGGGTAAGAACAGGTTTTTATGTTTCACTTCTTTTAATCTAAGCATGAGAGCAAAAGCAGAAAACCAGATCTCTGATTAGAAACCACCTGTATCATAACCAGAGCAGAAAGCACAGTTTGATATAACCATTCCAAAAATACCTAAATACCTCTCAGCCCCATCAGGAACAACTATAAAGACTAAATACCTCTCAGCCCCATCAGGAACGACTGTAAAGGAAGTGGCAGAAAAAAAAATTATCCTTTCATTCCAACTGCAAATTTGTATTTAGAGAAAAAATTTATAGCTTGCAGCAGAAAAAAAAATGGATTTAACAAGCAGTATTATTTAACAGCAAGATATTAATGGTGTGTATCATATTTTACTATAGATTTCATGAGACGACAGAGATACTTGAGCTTTACCACACATCTTAATTATTAAAGGTGTATTTGCAGCATCATATGGATTAAATAGCAAAGTAAAACATGACTGTAGAGGCACTTTAACACACACAATTTTAAAATTGGGATTTTTTCCACTTTTTGGAGCCCTTTTATTTCTTTGTTTAGAGAGTATGTCCATGACTATTAATTTTGGACATGTTCTTTAACATAGTATAACATTCTTTAAACAATAAACAAGCAACAATTCTTTATAAAAAAGTTAAGCTAGATTTTGAAAGGACACAAAATGTTGCATGATAAAGAAAGCAAAGATCCAGAGTGGAAAATTAGCCCAGAGTAGACCCTGACTTTAGCATACTGAACAGCTTCAACTTCTAATTTCCATGGGGAAAGGGGAGAGAAAACAAAGGTATGTAGAGGTAAGGTTTGGCAAGGTGATAGTCACATCCCTTAAACATAGGAATAGGGAGACAAAAAAGCCAATGAAAATAAACACAACCCTCTCTCCCCTTGGTAACACAAAAAAACACAGACTCCAATTCTAGAGATTAGTATTTTCATCTAAGATAAATTTTACACGGACCTGACGTGTGTGGGGGGAGAAAAATCACTGCACTGTACTGTCTATTTAAAATAAGAATCAAATGCAGTTACTTATATACATACTTTTTGGATTCCCGACCTGAAATCTCTCTCTTAATTTTCCAAATCCTGCTGTTCCTTCTTGTGCATAAAACTATGTGGCACCGTGGTGGAAAGCAGGGGTTGGAAATCAGGGATTGTTGTATTGGACTGTAACCTCAGCTGGATCACCTTCTGTAACAAACACCCTTGAGGAAAAATACTAGTTTGGCTGTCCCTAACAGAGGGACAAAAATCCTGTCAGAGCAAAAGAATGTCAGCATAGCAACAAGATGAGATTGAACCTTTGAATATAACCCAATATTTGAGACGAAGAAGGTGAAAACTATGGAAAGCTTCATATCTGCACTCCCACTGCCTGCAGTCAGTGACAGGAACTGGGCTCTGACGTGGAAGTCAAGGGAAGAAACAGAACTTGAGAAAGTATTTTTCTTCTCCTAATTTGTTAAAGAGTTGTCAAAACTGAATGGTCTGTGTTCAGAAATAACTCCACTGATAACTGTAACTCACAGAGGGGATAGTCTAGACTGCTGCAAATATTAAGGCACGCATGATATCATCATCTTTTTTTTTTTTTTTCCCCTCCTCCTTTTTCAAGTTAACATTGCAGGAACCATGCTCAGAGGTGAATCCAAATTCTTCAAATATATATCCATATATAATATAATGTCTGTATGGAGTTGTTCATTTTTGGGGGTGGTTGGGGATGGAGGGCAATAACAGGGTGGTGGGACTTTTAAAAATTCATTTATTTTACCTGTAGTGCTTCATATATCTAAATTAACTTCAGGGAGGAAAGGTTAGGTTTAAAGTCTTAATTTAAGCATTCCGTTGAGACCATAATTAATTATCTTATTCGATGATTTTTTGAAACAGAGACTGTAGACTTAACAAATAGGATCTGGCCCACGTACCTGTGTCACTTCCAGATCCAGCTGATAACGCTGGCATGGTTACCTGTAGTGCTTCATATATCTAAATTAACTTCAGGGAGGAAAGGTTAGGTTTAAAGTCTTAATTTAAGCATTCCGTTGAGACCATAATTAATTATCTTATTCGATGATTTTTTGAAACAGAGACTGTAGACTTAACAAATAGGATCTGGCCCACGTACCTGTGTCACTTCCAGATCCAGCTGATAACGCTGGCATGGTTTAGTCTGAAGTGTCAGCTTCTCAAACCAGCACTGCAGCCAAGAGGCAGAAGTTAATTTCAGTTTAACTGCTCGCAGCCAAGTTGTCTACAAAAAGATTTATGTTATCTCCCAGTTTGTCCTAGAAAGAACAGAAACAGAATTTTACAATTAGGAACATTGTGGAACTGTAAATTACTGCACTTAACCAAATCCAATCATTACCATGAAATAAGCTTTTATTTAAGACTCTCAAAACAAAGTGCTTTGCATTTATTTATGTTAAGATTTTTGGTTCCCCGGGTGAAACAAGTTTTGTTTTCTTCAGTCTAGCCTATAATCCCATTCTGCATTAAAAACAACTTAACACATTTCTCACATGTAAATTATACTCTAACTCCAGCATAACAGGCATTTTGGAAACAAAGTTTAGAGATATTTCATTAAAACAGTAAATAATTGAAGTCAGCATAACAGGCATTTTGGAAACAAAGTCTAGAGATATTTCATTAAAACAGTGAATAATTGAAGTAATTCAAATTTTGCTACTACTTATCTCAGGAAAACAAAATTGCTTACTAGCATGGTAATGTATTCAGTGTTTCTACTTAACCTCCATTCAATTGTTTTCAGGTCCTTTAAGATCTGACATGCAATTTTTATTCGTAATCTGGAAATATAATCGAAATTTTAACTGAAGTTGTAAAAAGCAGGACGGGTACAAACACTTCTCTAAGGTAAACAGCAGTTTGATCCGTGTGGTTGATGGAACCATTACCATATAAGGAATTTTTCTGTGATTCATTACTACAAAGTCAGTGGGTTTTGACACATATTTTTTAATAATTGCTCAGGCCTACTGATAGCAGCTGTGGGGGTCTTTCTTTTAACCACTTCTTGAGGAACATTCAGAGCAAACAAAGTTACAATTCATTTCAAATATAAGTTAAACAAAAGTTAAAATTAATTTCAAATATAACTGAGTGTATTTAAATTACAGCATGTTGAAATATGAAACTGGAACACAAACTGGTGAAAAGAAATTCAGAGTTAAGACTGGAAATGTCTCCTAATAGCAGGGCAGGGGCTGATGTGCTTGCAGGGAGAAGGAAGGGAAAGGGTGAAGTAGAAGCTAACAGAAAACAAGGATTTTCTCCAGATTTCAGTAAACAAAAAGGATCCTTGAAGAAAGAAAGCAGCATAGTTCTGCTTTAGCAAAAGAAAATAAACAAATAGAAGAGTATTTTGCTGCTGCTATTGCTGGTTTGGTTTTTTTGTTGGCTTTTTTTTAAAACACATTCATATTAATCAGAATGACTTTTGAAGTCATCTTGGCTCTGAAAGTGCATGTTTTGGACACATTTGTACTTGGCAACAGTCTTGTGGAAGAGTAATATACAGGTGCTGTAAACACTGTATGCTGTTCAAAATTTTGTTTTTCACCAACGAAAATCCCCACATTGCTAAAAGTATTGCAGCACATTAAGGGCCATCCATGAGTTTTTGTTGAGTAAGTTTTAAATCAATTATTAGATATAAGCTAGTTGTTTACTCATCCCTAGGCATAAGCCTACAGTTTAAACAGTTTGGCAAGTTTTTTAAAGTTGTTTTGGTTTGTTTTTTGTCTGCTAAGTGTTTAGCCAGTGAATCTGGGTGTGTTTCTTAAGAAGGCAAATACAGCAGAAGTTACATCCCTGAACAACTTCTTCTGTGATGAAAAGAACCAAATAAAAACATAAAAACCTATTTACTAAGAGTGTTTAGGTGTTTGGGGCTTTTTTTAGTTATAAAAGTTTATGGTGAAGGAAAAAAGTAAGTTTTCAGTAAAAAGGCATCAGCTTCCAAAAACATATTTCGACATTCATCAAATCAGCGTAAAAATCCACTAACTTTCAATTTAAATCAGGGATAAGGAAATTAAATATTTCAGAGCGAAAGCTCATCTTGCGATGACAAAGCTGTAAAACATCTATATGCAAAGCTAGCCAGGGTACAGTTTAAAAGAAAAGAAAAAAGGCATCGTGGCCAAGGACACATTGTACCAATTAAGAAGGAACAGATTCACTTTGCATCGATTCTGCTTGTTTTCTGTTTAACACGTAAAGGAGGAGTCCTGTCCCAGTCTCAGCGACATCCCCACGTGGGGCATGGAGGTGCTTTTACTTTCCACATGTGTGAAAAACTGCTTAAAACAAAATTATTGACTCTTAACAGGACATCTTTGATTTATATGCAGCTTAAGGTACTTTCATGTATCAAAAAAACCCCAAAACAAAACAACCAAACAAACAAGAAATTCATATTTTAACTGCATTATTATAAACCAGAAATTCAGGTTCCTTAAAAAGGTTCACTGCAAAACTTGGAAAATCTTGTTGATCTACGTACATGCAATGTATTTAAACTCCACCGGTTTATTTTTCTTTATTTCAGTCAAAAAAAAATCCTCATTATTTAAGAAACTTATATACAGCATAAAGTTATTCCCCCCCGGATCCTAAATATATATTAATGAAAAATAAATGACCTGATGAAATCCTTACCAGTAAAATGCTTAATATTTTGCTGGAATGGGAGGGGAGATTTTTGATATTTTTTTTTTGCCTAACGTGCAAATTAAGCTACATTTTTGCAGTGATGATGCTATTTTCTTTGGCTCCCTTTATTTAAAATGCTTTGGAAGTTTTTGCCCGAGCCCAGCCATAGGCATTGCTGACTGCTGTATGGAATCGATTTGCTGCAACACAGAAATACCAGCTGTTACAGTATGTCCTGAGAGGGATTACCGAATATTCCTAAATTGAAGTTCAATCCATCTTTCCATAAAAATTAGAAGCCGGGGCCAGGAACGTAACAGCAGTATCAAGTGCACCTGAGGCATTTACAATACCCAGCAGGACTGTTACAACCAGCCTTTAAAAAGGGCTTATTTTTGAAAATTTCATTATTCCAGTTGTCCCTTGCTTGGATAGCTCGCACTGGATCGGGTTCCGCCAGGCCGGCCGGAGCGTGCCCGACACCTAGCGGTGCTCACCCAAAGAGCTCAACTGCTCGGATGGAAACGCCGGCAATTAATTGGAATAAAATCACTAAAGGCAGTGGTTTGATCATTTCTGCCTGTGCCAGCCAGTGTAACAAAAGGCAGCTCTGTTTTTCGGGTGCTCTGCTTGAAAGGGCAGTCACAAAACGTAAGCTTCGGCGTCTGCGAAAGGCGTAGAAGAGTTTCTCTACCTTCCGACAGATCTCGCGCATCGCACGGGCACCAAGACAGACGAGGGTCTAGTTACCTCCACCATTAAGTTCATGAGTGTGGCATAACTTATTGGGGTGACAAACCCTGGTTACACGTGGCCAGGAGCAGGACAGAAGCCTCCTGGAAGCACCTGCCAAACCTGCGAAATTCTAGAATTACAGCTCTCCAAGGGAATCCTTTTTCTGCCTATCCCATAAGAGGCCCCTTATCAAGGGATCAGGGGATAGATCAATCTTGCTCCCAGTCACCCACCCTGTCAATACAGGAGGACTGGTAAGGACAGACAGAAGGCATCAGGTAAAGTGGGTGGGAGGCAGCTGGAGAGCACCGAGATGAACAACCTTCCCTGTAATTTTAGCTTTCATAGCTTCTTTCTAGCATCCTCTATTGCTTTTGAATGGAAGTGACTCTATTAGTCATGCATACATTTTATTTTAGTCATTTTTTTCTATAAAGGATGAGCTGATGCAAATTTGTGTTTGTGGCAAGTACCATCATTTGGAGACAGAACACAAAGTCATGGTTCTACCTTTGACTCCCCATCCAAACCTCAATAAACTTCATAACAGATATTTCTGAAAGACTATTTTACAAGTTACTTAATATTTCTGGCACTTGAATGAATATAAATTGATTTTCTTCACATTTGAAAAGCAGGCTGAAGACTTTTGCCTGATTTACAACAGATAAAAACATAAAAAATATGAACCCAGTGATGCCACAAATTGGGGGGAGGTGGGCTGGATGGGAATGGGTGGGGACAGGACACATAAAGCCAGATTGTTTGATACAAGAAACATTCAACCTGTTTTTCTATAGGATGCTACAATTATGCTGACTATAACCTTGATTTCCAGAACTAAAGCAGTGTGCCTGCAAATAGTATTTCAACTACCAGATAGAGATTTCATGTGGAGACAGGAAATTTGACAGCCATTCAGTCTTGTATTCATTATGGGGCCTTAAGTAATTGAATGACTACAGACATGTATACAAATCTCCAAAACCTAGTCAGCACAGGAAATTGCCAAAGGAGGTTTTCTAGACTGGGAAAAGTAAATCTGTTTTGGTAGACAAAATCTGAATTGAAAATGGTGGTCTACTCTTTTGAAAGTTGTAATGTAATGGGATCTATCGAATCCTTAAAACTCCTCTGAGGAAGTTTTCACCTCCTTAATCACAGTGTCTCCGACAGACTACTGGAACCTGCTTTTTTGGAACCCTGACAGGCTTCCAAAGCTGGTCAGCTGTCCTTACAGGCAGTACATGCACACTGTCAACAGGAACCTTCAAAAAACCTTGAACCCAAATTACTGCACGGAGGACACGGCACACAAATGTCATGGGACTTCAAAGACACTGCAGAGGGAAGAAGCTACCACTGACTCACTTAGCTGTGTGTAGAATGAAAATTAAGAGAGTGGCAAAATGTAGAGTCCAATTTAAAAAAACAAAAATTTATGGCAACTACCAGATGTTATTAACTAATACACCAACACAGAAAACATGGACTGTCCCTAATTGAAAAGGCAAAATGCAGCCTTCACTAGCTTTCTCTTGGCTTGC